CCCTCCCTCCCTCCCTCCCTTCTTCCTTTCTTTCTTTCTTTCTTTCTTTCTTTCTTTCTTTCTTCCTTTCTTTCTTTCTGTCTATCTGAACTCACACGTTTCTGATAATTCCTCGAGCAGACATGGAAAGTGGATTCATTCTTCCATACGACAGAGGCACTGGTAAGTAACAGCTCAACAGTATCTAATCAGCTGTAGCATGCATTTACAAAGTCAGAAGTACTATTTACTGATTCTACTAAACATGAATAGATGAATAATAAATGAACACAAAACATAAGCAAAGTAAAATAGAAAAATTAAAAAAAAAAGAGATTAGGGCCAAGGAGAAGGCTTAGTGGGTAAAGGTACTTGTGTGGAGGCCTACAGACACGAGTTCAATCCCTGGGGCTCACAAGGAGACAGAAGAGAATCCTCAAGCGTTGTCCTCTATTTTCCACACATGTGCTATTGTAAGCACATACCTATACTCATCTACCTGTGTGCACTAAATAGATTACCCATAAAAACATTCGAAAATTTTAACATTTTTCTTACACCATTTAAGAAACTAACAGAAAAGGAGCCAAGATTAATATCAGAGAAGAGAAAATGGAAACATGGCGAGCTCTTTGCATTGTCAGAAAATAACGACTGAAAAATAAACTGGTCATTAGTGTCTTGTTAAGTGAGCATATGTAAGATTTTGTAGAAAACATGTATAAAGCAAAAAATTAAAGGATAAATACACTTAAAAAGTGATGTAGAAGGTATGTGCTATGGTTAATGTTTGGAAATAGAGGTATAACAGGTACAGTTGTTTGGAAGATTTTCTAACTTTGGACAAGAAAAGTTGTTTGAATAATAAGTAGGGCATAATTGGCCATGATCATAAAAATATGGAAAATAGTGGTGCCGAGGGCAATTTTGACTATGTAAGCACTGGTGAAAAGAACAATATCAACTGGACTAGGGACCATTCTTGCTATACTTCTGCGAGGAATGTGGCTACTTTCTGCCAACAAACCCAACTGTGGTTAAATTGAAGAGTTCTCCACTAATATCATTGACAAAGGAGATTTCAAGACAGCATAATATTGTGTCAAGTAGTAATTTTATTCACTTTCATGCATAACTACAATGAAGAGATGCAAACAAGGCAAAGAGAAATTCAAAATGTACAGTTTGGGGAGAAAAAGAGAAGCAAGACATTTGGTATTGGGGCTCAATCATGGGAGAAGTTTAAAGCCCTGATTCTGGATGAACAAAAGGGAGTAGTAACCTCTGGGCAAGACCTCACTGGGCAAATTCTGCAACCAAGGGGGAAAAAAGACCTGCGATTTTTCTTTGGACTAAACAACAATGGAAAACATATGTAAATGCAATTCACAGAGGGGACAGGTTCCAGCTCCACCTAGCAGAAGTTGGCTGCTTCAGCCCTGTAGTTTTGCTTTAGAATTAAGTGGGATACAGGGAAGGTATTGTGGAATGTTCGTGTTCCCTGGTTTAGGAAAGCTGTTAAAGTAAAGGCATTTGTCAGGGGAATCTTTGCAGAGAAGTCCAGGGACACCATTGTGTAAAGCTGTGAATTTAAAAGGCTGGATTGTGACGGAGATCCCACAATGTTGGAAAAGTCACAGTATGGTGTATCTACAAAGAGAGAAGCTGTAGGTAGGGTGTGGAACCAGCCTGAGAATGATAAGTGTGTTTCAGTCAGCAAAGCAGGGAAGTGAGGGAGATATGAAGAACTATCCATTCAGCCCTTTGACATTGGGAAGAGAGATACAGAATTTGGAGTTTGCCCTACTGGATTTCAAATTTGCTTTGGTCCACTGTTTCATTGATAAGTTTCTGTTTCTCCCTTTTGGAATGGTAATGTATATTCAGTGTCAATGTATGGTGACACTGGAAGTATGTGATCAGCATTTTGATTTTTGCTTTTGTGGGGTTTTACAATTGTCTTTAGTCTCAAGGATACTCAGAACTTTGAAATTGTAAACAGTCTGTTTCAAGACCAAAAGACTATGGAGACTTTTGAAGTTGGCCTGATGCATTTTACATTCTGATATGGCTAGAAGCCTATGGGGACCAGGGAGCTGAATGTGGTGGTTTGAATGAGAATGGTCCCATGAGCTCATGTATTTTAATGTTTAGTTCCAAGCTGGTAAAATTGTTTGGAAAAGATTAGGTGTGGCTTTGTTGCAGAGGTTGTCACTGAGGGAAATGCTTTGAGGGTTCAAAAGCCCACTCCAAGCCCAGTTTCTGTCTTTGCCTGTGAAGCAGGATGTAAAGCTCTTAGCTAATGCTCTAGTGCCATGCCTGACTGCCTCCTGTCATGATAATCATGGACTACACCTCTTAAACTGTAAACAAGCCCCCAGTTAAATAATTTCTAAGAGTTGCCTTGGTCTTGTGCCATTTCAGAGGAATATATCAAAAATTAAGAAAAGAAGGTTGAGTGTATAATAGAAAAAAATGGCAAGGTACAACCTAATGAAATCAAAGACCTTTGCTAGGAGCAAGTCACCTCATAACTCATAGTGATTTTGGCTTTTCCACTGTGGTTTTTCCATATTTATAAGAAGCTGGAAATAATGTTTACACGAACCAACATGCCTGTAGGAATCTATTATTTTGACACTTGTTAAATCAAGAAATAGGAATTTTTTCTTTCATTATAAATTCATACTCTGGGCTGCTCTTGAAAGGCTTGAATGGTAACTTCATAAGGCAACTCTGACGTCTTACATGCTCATGTCAAAGGTATACTAGTACCATACTGAAAATTAATTTTTGGTCAAAGACTTGGTAAACATACAAAAGAGCTTAACAATCTCTTCTGTAGGCATATGAAATTGTATTAGTTTCTCACAGAATTGGCCTAACCAAAAACAAGTTTCAAATATTGTCATGCAATTTACTAGAATGCTCCAAGAATTTAATTCAGTGACATATTTCATATGAGACTTGTATGTTTAATAAAAATGTATGCATAATTTGATGTCATTCTTGAGATTAAATTTAACTTGATAAAAAATGACTTAGTAGACAAATAACTCTTCACTACCTTTAGTTATAAGATGGTAGTTTTAGAAAATATATGTCTTGCTCCCGTGATAATTCCAGTATGCCTTGGGTGACTGGTACAGACACATTTCCAAAGGCATACTTCTCCAAGGTATGACATAATCATATTTAGAGGATGCAGGGACCCATCTGCCAAATGCCAGAAAATTCCAGGTCGCTGTTTTCTTAAATTAACTTCAATATAGAGTTTTGCAGAAATCTTTCGACAATGGTCATCAGTAAGTATTAAATTTTAAACAATTATGTGTCCAGGCACTATTTCCTACAAGTAAAACAGTAAGTGCACACATTTTAAAGCCAGGAGACCACTCCTCCTTTGCATGAATAACATGAACAATGCACATTCCCCTGAGCGGCAGATAGATGAAGATCTGAAGTACTTACTAAACTTGACCTTGCTTTACTTATTGTTTTGACAATATTATCCAGACTAAGGCTTTCTGAAATCTTTAAGAAGCTCCAATAGCCTGGAATCACCAGTCTACTGGGCAGAGCTAGTTCAGTTTGATCTTAAGGGATAATGAATCTTATTTGAGATGCTATTGTACATATTTGCTTATTTTTCATGTAAAGAAATATTATTCTTGATGCCAGTAAGTAGAATCAGGCAAATTTACTTTCCTTAAAGTGTTCATATGAGTATCAGATATTAGAATCTTATTTTATAAATATGTGTTAGAGATGTTCTCTGCATTTAACTATATTGTTTTATATTATTACAGGACAAAATGACAGGAACCGATAACAATTGCCCGAATAATGAACCAAACTTTTTTAAAAAACATCTATGTGATGATACAAAGGTAATGATAATTTGGACTTTATTATGAGCTTGGTTTTATACACAATTCTGTTAGATAATTAAATTAATTCCATAATCTTTTTATACTAATGACAGGATTACCATTTGTCCATTATATTATACTGTGGTCTATTATATGTTAATTTTACACATATCTTGTCCCCAATAGATACAAAATACATAATAATTTGTTGCCCTTATTTCCTGTTGTTTACCTTGAAACTCCTCAAAACAGTGACTATAAAGGCACAAGTGTCTCTTTTCCCCTAAACCTTTTTTGAAGGAAAGTTCTTAGACACATACACACACACCACACACACACACACACACACACACACACAAATTTAGTTTTAGACAGTCTGATTTTTTTATTTAGTACTTGCTAAAGTTTATGCCAAAGTCAGCTCTAGTTGGTTAATTACAATGGATAAACATATCCACAAGTTCCAGAAATTTGTAAATTTTCCCCATAGGAAGAAGAGATGCTCTATAACATTTGATGGTCTTTCTAAAACTCACACAGCTATTAACCTCACAGTGTTGCATAACCATAAATTCTTTTATTTATTAGTTAATTAATTAATATATCTAAAAAAGCTTATGTCTGAGATTACATGGCTCTTCGTTTTTTCTTTTATTTTACTACCAGCTATACTTCCAGAGCTCAAGTGTTCCAAATGTTAGCAAAAAGAAACCCCACATACCTTTCTCTACTAGTGTTTTCAGCAGCCTTCTTCTTTAGTTATCCTGTTAAAAGTATATGGTCTTGTAACATGTTCACCCGTAAATGATAAAGCCCCATGTACATAATGGAGAAACGACTTCTTAAAACTCAGATAATCATTAAACCAAATTCTAGGCACTTCATGTTCTCTGTTTCCTTGCAGCCAAACAGTTTCATTCCTGTTACTCATCAGTCATGTGATTAACCGGAATAGAAAGCTGGGGCGGAGGTGGGGTATAGCTAAGAGACAGGGTTTATGTTAACAACACTTTTGATTTTTTTTTTCTAATAGGAAGCTGCTTTTCTAAACCGTGCTGCTCGCAAGTTGAAGCAATTTCTTAAAATGAATATCAGTGAGGAATTCAATGTCCACTTGCTAACAGTTTCACAAGGCACACAAACACTAGTGAACTGCACAAGCAAGGTAGGCGTGGACTGTTCACTGGGAGCCACCTTGAATGACTCCTGCTTAGGGCACTGCCATCCCCTGGTCCACCGCTATTGTCACAGAACTCTAAGTGCTGCTTTTCACATTAAGTAGAGAAGTGATTCCCCACTCTAGACCGAACCCTCAGCCTTCGGAAAGCTACTTATGCCTTGCTTGGCTGCAAAATCAGAAAGCCCATTTGAATCTGCATCAAAAGATTAACCAGTCTGAGACACTGAACAATGATCATGCTCGTTTGTGAGTTATGGATTCTTTTTAAATTTCCATTATTATTATTTATCAACACAGATACGAAAACATAATGATTCTTTGTTGTGAAGTGTTATGGTAATATTTAAAATGGCGCCACCCAATGGGGCTTGTTGTTATGAGACTGCCATGTTTCCGACTAGGCAAGTGCTGGGCCGTGAACAGCAGCGTATTCTCGCCACTGCTCGGCTCAGGCGAGGCAGGAGCACCGGCCCTGGCACCCACGAGGCGCCAGCTTGGGAGATGGCTCTGTTAATCTACCATGCTGTCTCCACAATGCTTGGCTGAGCCCAGACCATCCCGCCATCCACGTGATAGAAATGAGACTCTAATGTTTAATATTATCTAAAGGCTTTATATAATTAGAAATGCTCAATTAACAAGATGCCCATACAATTAGAGTTGTAAGCCAATATCTAACCTTATGATATAAATCGTTACCAAGGACCATCCTGGATACAAGCATGGTTCTCCATGGCTCCTCCATCTCTCCTCTTGCTCCTCCTCTTCCTTTTTCTCCTCCTCTCCTTACTCCTCTCACATTAGCTCCTCCCAAATTACCAAGTTTACTGTAAAATGTAGCGCGGGGGGTGGGGGTGGGGGAATATACTGCGACAGGAAAGCAGGTGAATTTTCACATACATTTTTAGGAAGCCATAGGCATTCTAACTTGAAGTATAAAATTCAAAGTATACAAATATGTGACCCAGAAGCAACATAAAAGTGGCAAGGGCCTTCTCGCAGAATTTATAAAGTTTAGAATATTTGTGTCTCCAGAGTTTCAGAGGTAAAAGCAAGATTCACTTCCACCTACTTTTTCTGCATTATGTATCATTATACATAGCTATCCTAGCTATCCATGCTCACAGTCCTTATAGAAAATGGTGGTGTTTCTGCAGATAACCTACATATTGCCTCCCATGTATTTTAAATTGTATGTAGACTTCTTAAAATTCCCACAGCAATGTGAATGATAATTACTATGTGTAGTTTAAAGAATAATGACAAGAAAACTAGTTCATACATGTTTAGTACAGGAGCATCTTTCTTCAAGTATAGTCAAGTTGCACTTGATTCAATCCAAGGATTCAATCCACTTATGGACATGTGCTATACCAGCACTAATATTATGGAAGCACCAATTGCATTCGTCCTACTAAATACAGCAACTTAGTCACATGCAAATGTTCTGTGTCTCCACTGGAAAGATTAACAAACAAAATTACTCATATTTCTTTTCAAATTCTTTGAAGTTATTTAAAAGTTACATGCTTGTGTTACTTAAGTAAATAACTAATAGAGATATGAATTGTGACTAAATTTAAAAGAGAAGAGCTCAAGATGTAAGCATTACAACTGTGTCACACTGGCTCCAACCT